TTTCTTGTACATTATTTTATATTAAGTTTACCTGATGATAGTAATTAGTATGATGTAAGGGAACGTTTACCAAGTCAAATCTTGGCTCAGGAGGAACTAATCCACACGTGGAGCTACGAGCAGCAGCTAGCATCTGATGAGAGAACTGATAGATTATTGTTGTTGAATTGAATAATAGTATCATATTCTTTAAAATTTATTAATTAGGAGATTTTGCAAGATGAACCAACTTAGGATGAATGACCATTCAATTAACAGAGAACACAATTTTGAGGTGTGTTGGGATTTATTACTGATTTCAGATTGGCATTCATCACTGACTGGTATCAGTTGCAGAAATATTCGAAATCTGGCAGCATTAGACAGCTATTTTGTCCTGGTATAGGACTCACCCGCAGTGCTCACCCACGACTCCATACCACCAGGATCTCCAAGTTCCGATTGAACCCTTGAATTGGAATCCAGTGATCCATATTTCTCACTCCTGTCAGTTCACGATACAGAGTCCAATGTCGTCCACATGTTCGACTTGGTTGGCCTCACTGGTCACCACTTCTCATTGGAATTTCGGGAATCATCTCTCGAAGTTAATCATCAATGAGCAGTAGGTTAGTTCAATTTTAAGAATGATAAATTCGTTACTCAGTATTAATGTAATCGTCTTCAGTCGTATACAACCACCACTTCTTTTCCATGGACGAATATTAACACCTTGAATACATCATGAAAAATCACACTCACTTTTAGCTGCTGCATAAATTGATCACCATTAAATTTATAGGATGCCAAAAATATGTCAACTCTGTGTCATACGCTTGAAGGATTTATGTAGACAGAAACAGATGTTTTGTTCACATTCCTCGGTAGTACTTTGCTGGAATTCATTTGTACTCTATCAAGTATTCGCTCATCTCTTCATGCAGTAGGGGAGTCATTGTAGTCATATATAAATTGATCATACTACCAACAACTTTAATTAGAATAGAAGTGAGTACTTTCTTAAAGAATTGTGGACAGAAGCTCAGATACGTAGATATACATCTGTCATTTGTTTGCTGCTGGCTAGTAGCAGAAGTTGGGATGCCTGTTTCGCAATATTTTGGACTTATCTGCTGAATGTAACTGTATCCCAGAGAATGATGATGTTCCCCTTGGTAGTCGAAACCAGCACCTATCACTTCAAACACCATAGAGTTATTCATTAGTCTACAGAGTCCCTTCTTGTGTAATGGGTATCAACTGTTATTTACTGATGCTTGCAATTACCCTTTGATTATTATACAGAACTGATGATGGCGGATAGCAGACGGATCCGGAAAGCGAATTTCATCTAAGAAGTGCATATTACCAAGAGTGACCGATCAAACGGGTTCGGTATACTAATCCAAGGAGATATACAAACATTAGTAAATAGATACATTTATACGATTTTTATAATCATATCATATAACTTTCAAATAATTAAAATGTAAAGACTGAATTAAACTCTAAGGAATAAGGAAAAACGATAAATTTGACGACAAAATTTCATTAGAAAAAAACCTTGTCAACAGAGGTTTTCGTGTTATCTGTAATATGGCTTTAAAGTAAGTGGTTTATAAAGAAATAATTGACTTAATGAAAAAAGTTAATTATAAATATATCAGATATTTTATGGAAAAGTATTGCAAAACTTTTCTGGGACTATAGAGGTATAGTGTTCTCCGAACTTTAGTATTTCATCGTGGATGCGACATCATCAGGATTAAATTCATAATCTGAATTCACCAAGCCTTATAATAAAAAGTCTATGATAGTATAGAAAAGTTCAGAGAACATCAAACTACCATCATTCTCATTTGTAATTATAATTCGTCCCTTGGGTTCCTAGTGGAACATACGGCTTCAGTAGCACGCCTCTATTACACTCTCTTCTCTGCAGTCTTTCCAACCTCGCGCCACGACTGCCAACAAGCTCTCATTTCTTCATCACATGACCTCCTCCACGTCACCCTCGCCACGCACGCCCAACTCGTCGTTTCCCCTTTGGATTCCACTAGACTACCTGGACTAGCGCGTGACGTCCCCAATCGGCCTTCTCAGTGTATATCCAATCCAATCCAATCCATCTCTACTTTCTTTTGTTTATTTGTTCACTGATAGGTTCTTCGTTGGTTGGTTCGTTACCAGAGTTAGTTCCTTCTTGCTTATCCTCATTATTCTGGCCTTCTGATCTGATTTTCAGTATCGAGCCAGTGTAGGCAGCTATTGATGAATGTCTGTAGTTTGTTGGAAATGCTTTTCGTAACGCGCCAAGTCTCTCAACCATCACACAGTAGAAGCACTGAATTCACTGACATCAGTGTTGAAAATCCAGAGCTCGTTCACCCCTTATGCTGAATGCAGTCCAGTAGGTCTCCACACTGATTTCAGATCAGTGAAAGCCTGTCTTGCTGTGATTCCGGTCCTGGCTGCTTTGACATCCTCGTCTGTGCCTGTGCTGCCTGTAGTTGAAACGATGCTGCCCTGCCTAGGTAGGTGTAGGTGAAAGAGACTACTTCCTTTGGGTTTCTCCCGATCATGCTGATTGGTGCCTGTTGTTGTTGATGCTGTTGTTCGTTGGGTATCTTCATCAACTCCGTCTTCTCTAGATTTACTTGAAGTACCATCTTCCTTCGCTGCCCTGTCTCTTCTGTCAACTTCTTGGTTTTCAGCAGTACATCTTCGAGTTTGTGTGACAAGACATTAGACATAAATCATCATCGGCGGTGAAATCGAAATCTTCTCCTGGAGTCTTTTCATCGGTCCAGAGTATGCCCACCTTCTCGTTACTCACGGTATGCTGCATGATCCGATCAAGTCAACCACAATCAGGAAGATGATGGGTGATCGTAGGCCGCCTTTTCTCACTCTTGTCTTCACTTCAAAGGCATCACTAAGCTTTCCATTGTGGATCACTTGGCATGTAGTATCATATAGCCTATAGCTGCTGTTGAATGAAGTTGATAAACCTTTGTGGCACAGAAACTGTAGTGTTGAAAAAACTGCCAAATTACTCCTCCCCCGACGCTGTCGAAGGTCGTTTCAAAATCTATGAAGTTTGGTAGAGTGTTGACTGCCAGTCTGCCTGTTCCGGTAGTAATCTTGAATCAAGCGCAACCTTTAGTCTCTCCATGGTGATGTGGCTTAATATTTTGCTTCCTTGGAGTGAACAGGAACGTGATTCCTCGCCACTTCTTGCATAGGCTCATATCTCCTTTTTTGGGAGATTGCCAAGGTAGCTCTTCTTACTTACAATCAGCTGGCAGGTACATTTCCTTCCTTCCTTCCTTCCTTCCTTACAAACCTTCTACAATAGTGGTGTGGTGTGAGCATGTCAGCTGCTGATGTTTCTTAGCCTGTTTTCAGTGCTTCTCGAGGAATTCCATCTGATCCTGCTACTTTCCCGGTTTCTCGCAACTTGATGGCGTTCATAACTTCACTTCCACTTTTGTCGGAGGGCTTGTATTCACTGATAGTTGTGTGACTGGGCTGCTGGTGGTATTTCTCAACGAGTCGCAGGTGGTGGTGATTATGATGGTCGATCCAAGAGTTTTTTGAAATGGTTAGCCTTTCGTTCCTTTGTTTCTCCTCTTTGATAACTAAGTCTCCTCCACCATCTTTCATTGACTTCATCTGTGTTCATCTCTCCTCTCCCCCTTCAGATAGCAACCTGGTTATTTGATACAATGTTGTCAGGTCTCTGTCTCTCCTACCTACAGCCTGTTCTGCTTCCTTCACAAGTGTGTTGCAGAAGTGTTTTTTGTCTTTGCGTGCACTCCCCTTCACTTCTTTGTCCAGTGTAGTGTTTTATATGTTGTGTTCAGTTGCTGTTTTCGTTGTTCATCGCTGCACTGCTCTGTACTGCACCGCACCGGTTCATCTTCTGCTTCACCGTCTTCGTCTCTCTCCTCTGTCAACTTCCATGTATCGGTGGCGATCAATTTCTTGTCTCGCCTTTTCCTCTTCCTTCCTAACACGGTTATGCCTTGGTAAATGTATATAATTTATTGTATTTGTATGTATATAATCCTCTCTTTTCTTTCGATTGCATCATCTCTTCATTAATTACTTACCGACTGTTAATCACTTAACAGTTTTCAATCTTTTCAGGCAATTACGTAACCTAATAGCTCTTAAACATTGCCGCCTTTTACACTGATTTTCGTTTGTTGTCCCTGCCTCCACTTCACAACTCCAGAATCTTTTATGATTTGTAACGATTAATCCTGTATTTCCTTGACTTACTACCTTATTCTTAATCTTGGATTTCAAATCTTCATTTATTTCCATGTATTTAAAGTATGTAATGTTATTACCACTAATAATAATTTACTTCAATTGTAAGCTGTTTTCAGCTGATGAAAGGCCACGAAATAAAATCAGCTGATTTTATTCTGTAAATGTCTTTGTCCCTGCATTGTCCAAACAACTCTAAAAGTTGACTGTGAAACGGTAACTTGCCGACTATACGACTAGATACAACTGATGGCCAGCTAACTTCTCTTACTACTGGTAATCAATTCAATGAAAAACATGTAAAAAAAAAAAGAAAATAATTTGGAAAAATAGAAAACAACCTCATATTGATTTTTAAAAATCCATTCTCTTTGACTTCAAAAGTAAACAAAAAAAGGATATCACAAAATTAGTAGTGGACAAAAACATTTACTGTATCGAATTGTAATAATCAAGATACAAAAAACAGCTAAAGTGTATCAACAAAACAATGACAACATGATAGATTGAAAGCGTTCCTTAAACAAACACATCCTCAAACAGATAGATATACTACTTAATAGTAGTTCGATGAAAATGTCTTGTTTTTTAAAATGATTGTTCAACAGTTTTACAGGCACAAAAATCAGCTTGAATGATACCTCAAAGTTTACATTAATAATAATAATAAAGTAGAAAAGCTATCGAAAAAGGATAAAGAACAAATAATTCAAAGTTAAGGGGAATACATAAAAGGAGAAATCTTATTGGTCAATTCCTCTGTTATCATTAGTGTTGATAGGTGTGTCAACAGTATGGAGGACACTAATTACACCATGATCATTACATACCTTTTGATTGTTGAGTGCTTCATGCTCAGCTGGATCATTAACAACTGGAGTTCTCTTCTGATTACAACACTTACGTTTAATGACTAAGCCTAAGTAGATAAAGTATAATGGAATTGGTGTTAACATTGCTACAGTAATTGGTATAATAGCGCCTAATTCACCAGCTGGTTTTGGCATTGAATATAACAAGACAAGTATTGCAACACCAACATTTTGTATACCTGTCTCTAAAGCGACTGTAACAATTAATTGACGTGATTGTTTTAAAACTAATGTAAATAATGCAGCTAAACTGAAACCAATCCAGGGTAGAAGTGCACCAGTAACAATTACAATTGGATAAACACCTAATAGACGAAATAATGACCAATTAATATAAGTACCGATAGTAAGAAAGAAGACTATAAAAAAGATGAATAATGGACGTGTAAACCTTGTGAATCGTATAGCCCATTTTGGTTTCCATACACGTAGACCTAAACCAATTAACGCTGGTATAGCTACTTGTAATAATTGGAAGACAATATTAAGATAGGGAATTTTCACTCTGTTCACATCAATAAAGAATCGACCATACACGAATAGAAGAAGCGGCATCATGACTGTAAGGAGATTGAAAGAGAAGAAAAAACATATTATCAGAAATGTTGACTGTCCAAAATAAAATGATTGGTAAACATACAGACAGCTTAATTCAAGTGGAAATGATCTATCAATGTTGATGATGATTAGAATGGATCTATGTTGAGTTGGAAAGTTGTCCAATTCACATTGGGGGAGTAATGCAAATTATTGCTCCAGGATTGGTCTTCAATGACGCCATGACTGACAATAGAGAGTGAAGTGGTTGAATGTGTTGACCACTTCACCTACCTGGGAAGTAGGAACAGTCGTGCTGGCTCAGTGGCCGATGAAATCTCTGCACGGATACAAAAGGCTCGATTAGCTTTTGCTAATCTACGCCACCTGTGGCGCCGCCGTGATATCCGTTTGTCTAATTAGGGTCGCGTGTACTGCACAGCAGTCCCCTCTTTTCTACTGTATGGCTGTAAAACATGGCCATTGAAGGTGAAAGATATGAGAAGGCTTCAGATGTTTGATCACCGTTGCCTTCATAGTATAGGCCGTGTGCTGTGGTGTCACCATGTAAGTAACACAGAAGTCAGGTGTAGAGTTTTAGGGAGAAGAGGTAAATCAGTTGACGCGGCTGTCACTGAGGTGGTTGGGACATGTGTTACGTTGCCCAGACGCCGTCTGCCTCGTCACACAATGCTGGCCAAAGCAGGTTCAGACTGCAAAAAGGCTCAAGGTAGCCAGACTAAAACATGACACCAATGTATGAAGTCTTCGACTATTGGTTTGAGCCATGTGGGGCGATGCAGACTAGGTGGTTGGGGTCCACGGAATAAGAGAAACTAGAGGTTTGAGACTCTAGGTGATATGGGTGGGAACCGATGTCAGTGGCGTAGATGTATACACACATTATCCTCATCTTAACGCTATATAGAATCCCACCATTTTCTCATTTTTCCTTTCTCTCTTCTAGTACTCTGTGTTGCTTTTGACTGAGTTTTATTTTCTTCATCTCCCAACTCACTACCTTTTTACTTCATATGGTGATATGAGTTGTGGTAACTCGGACCATTATGCAGTAATACCTGGTCCTATGTTGATTTTGATGGATGGATGGATATCGGAGGAGTAGCATTTGCACCGTTTTCTAAGGTAATCTATAAGCGTACAGTGATTTACATACCAAAATCTTTCCTGGTAAAGTCTTTTCTACAGTTGTTTTGTCCATCTGTATGTTTTTAGACTACTTACATTGCTTTTTTCTCCTCTCTCTTTTTCGAGGAGAAGAAACAGTACTGAACCAACTCACTTATGATAAACCACTTGTCAAAAATAACAATCATTGGGATCTAGATAAATTCAGATGTAAGAAATTTGTCAGCTGGGCATGTATATCTAACAAAAACTCACCATCAACCATTCAGTGGTGAAAGTTTTTCTCCTTTCAACGAAATCATTTTCTAAGCTATACACTGGGAATATTATATTATAGAAAGCATAGAACATTCCAGGGTGATTTACAGTCAAAAGTAAATCTAAATGGCGTGACAATAGACAGTTACGTACTATCCATAGGCGTTTAAAACAGAGAAGTCAACGAAACGATAACAAAATAAAGTAGCTATGTCATATAGGAATTATCTAGGGTGATCTATACTTAGTGATGGTCATGACAAATAAAAAGGTTGGTTATACTTACTTCTTTAGAATCCCTAGATTCGCTAACCTCATTCCTTTAGAGTGATTTGGTTGCTTTTGTAGAGAATTTTGAAACACTTATTGAAAGGAGCCAAATATTCTGAGTTTAATAAATATTCTGTTACAGAGTTGAAGATACGTTCTCGTTCTCCCCTTGTCAACGAAGTTGGATAGTGTTCGCTATTATTGATCACTCTAGACAGTTCCTACATGACTTTCCCCCAGTTTAAGTGCTTATGGACATTACATAACTTGACGTTCATCAGTAAGGTGTATTTGTGACAATCAGAGAACTAGTATTTCCACAGTGACTCAAACCTGTGTCCATGAGTGATGAAATAAGTGAAACGCTGAAACACTAAGCTATTCAGATTATAGCTGACCATCTTTAAGACTCGATTATGTATACACATCGGTCACCAGTAGGCAAAATACATAGCTGTCTAGTCATTACTGCTTAACAGTGAATGAAGTCTACCGATATACAAACCGATACTATGATGCTATGATGTATTCTCATGATGTATGATGTTTTCTCATGTTAAATAATACTAAACCGAATCGAAAACCACTCAACAACCTTGTGCTTATTTGTGTGACAGACAGTGAGTCATATCAATTGTATGAGGGCTAACGGTAATATCGGGCTGCCCAAACCTCGTTAGGAGGAGCGCTGCTCGTACCCATGACCCATTAGTTGAAAGTTAGTTCCCTGAACCAATAAGCCATATCTCCACGATGCTTAGCACTAACGACTGGACAGCTATAAATTGGATAAACAGAATTCTCGTGAATACACATGTTAATGTACAACATCCTGAAGGGAATTAATTAATTTACTTGGCGGTAGCTGGAAATGAAACCAAGGAACATACGATGTAAACACCAGAGTGTTATTAACCATGCCACTGAGCCACGATAGCCATTCTCTGTGCAACAGTTATAGTATGCTCTGAATGTTATTGCTTTTAAATCTCTGTCATTGATTAGGCCCGACTGATCGGCCGCTATTAATCGCCGCTACCAATCAGTAATATCAAAACTGAAAATACCGACAACATCGAAGCATGGGTGCTCGCTGATGAAAAATCCCATACTAGGACGAGACAGCAGTCCAGTGCTCCCAGGTTTCAAATGTTTCCCCAACACTGATGTCAGTCAGTAATAAATGCCAACCTGAAATCAATAAATAAATTCCCACAAACCTCTAAGCCAAGATAATCTAGAGCTTATTGGTGAGTAGCTTCAAGAGGCGATACCCGAAGTTCCAACGAGAAGTCATGACTAGTGGGGTCAACCAGGTCAAAAATGAGGACAGTTACTCAACGACAGCATTAGATGGAGGTACGCTATATCATGAAATGGAAAAAGTAGTGAATATGGAGCATCACCTCTCAGCTCAGTGGCTCAGTGGTAACGTGCTGGCCATGGGACCTGAAGATCCTGGGTTTGGTCCTTGGAGACGTCATGAGCGCGCACTTCTGAGGAGTCTCATACTAAGACGAAATAGCTGCCCCCAGTTTCACATGTCTTGCCAATTGATGTCAGTCCATGAGGAATACCAACCTGAAATCAGCCAATAATTCTCCACAAACTTAAAAATTAGATATAGAAGGATCCGTACAGAAGCCCACATGCCAATAGTGGCCGATGACTTCGATCCAATCAACGATGAAGATTTACAAGTTAAAGTATCAAATATTCTCATTTCACAGAAACACGCAATGTGATACAATTTTATTTCATGCCTCACAGTTTGTTTCTGTTTCGGATAACCACAAGCAGACTCCACTGTTATTCAATCCGTGCTGATTTCTTACTGGAGGAATACGTACGAGATATTATTACTATTACTTTTTGTCCCTTGGGTTCCTAATGGAACATACGGCTTCAGTAGCACATCTCCATTCCACTCTGTTCTCTGCAAACCTTTCAACCTGACACCAAAACTGCACACAAGCTCTCATTTCTTCCTCACATAATCTCCTCCATGTCACCCTCACCACAGATGCCCAACTCATCGCTTCCCATAGGGGTTCCACTCCAGGGCCTGGACTGATGCGTGATGTCCCCGAATCGTCTTCTCACTGCATACCCAATACAGCCCCACTTCCTTCCACCACATATTTGTTGGGTGATAGGTTCTTCGTTGGTTGGTTTGTGACCAGAGTTACTTCCTTGTTGCTTGTTCTTATTGTTCTCGCCACCTGATCTTCAGTGTCGAGGCAGTGTAGGCAGTTGTTGATGAATGTCTGTAGTCTGTTGGAAATGCCTTTCGTGGCTCGCCAAGTCTCTCAACCACCACATAGAAGCACTGACTTGACTGACATTGGTGTTGAAAATCCGGATGTTGTTCACGCTTTAGGCTGAGTGGAGAAGATCTCCACACTGGTTTCAGGTTAGTGAACACTCGTCTTGCTTTTCCGATCCTGGCTATCTTTGACGTCTTCGTCTGTGCCTGTGCTACCTGTGCTTGACACAGTGCTGTCTGAATAGGTGAAGGAGGCTACTTCCTTTAAGTTTCTGTCGTTGATGGTGATTGGAGCGTGTTGTTGTTGTTGGCTTCGGTGGGTGTTTGTTGGGTAGCAAGGAATAATCATTAGGTTTCTGACAAACATCTTCGATTTGATCCGACCGAATCAAGAATCATTCAGCATTCTTCAGTTGTACTTCTCAAAGTAACACGGGCCAGTTAGATTTACCCTAAATCGATAAAACCTTAAGTAATACACTAAACACACAACACTCTGACAATTACTGAAAGATTAACCTTTTCAAATAATCCGAAAGTTTGAGGGTTACTGATGATTACTTAAGTTCCTAAAAGCGAATACGACTTTTAATAAATGACGTTAATATAGCTAACATTTTAAGAAAAAGGTCAATAAGAGCAGAACCATGCATTTTAAAGAAATGGTATTTATCCTTTCTCTTGAACACCAAACCACCTTACGAAGTGGAGGTCTGTAAGGAACTGCAATCTCTAAAGTGGCATACGGCATCGTGTTCAGAAAACCTACCCCATTCTATTTTAGGGTGAAAGTGAGACTGAATTTGGAGAACTGACTTCACTTTCTGAGAAGGTATTACAAACTGAGAGTGTCTCATTATTCTGAAATGGAGCCATTATTGTACCCATTTTCAAAAAGGATCTACGTAAATTATCTGATAATTATCGTTTTATCAATCTGTTACTGATAACATCTAAAGTGTTGGCTGCTATCACGCTTCGTAAGCTCTGCATAACATGCAGTGAGAAACTTGTTTTTTTTCTGTATGTGGATGGATTTATCATGGATTCCCCTTCATCAGATACTTGAACGCCGTTAGA